TCTATGGTTTTATCATCAAAATGGGCGATTTTTAGGAAAGAATATTTTTTTACCATTAATGATTTGAAACTGGCTTGCATCCTTCCCTGTGCCTGCTTATATATTGTTTGAGGGAGGGCGAAGCTAAAGGAGAGGCATGAATATTGTCTCGGAGTCGCGGTGAAGTTTATTTGGTTGCTTACAGATTTCTATAAATTCTCGGATTTTTCGTTGAAAGAAGAATTGATTGCATGCAAGAATTTTAGTTTTATGGAATAGAATTTGATGTCCCGTTTTGTTATTGTATTCGGCAACTGCTAATGAGTTTATTTATGGTTGCCTTAAGGCTCGTTCATGTTCTCTAAGCCTAGTTTATATTTTTCGTCCGGTCTCTCCAATGTATTCTTTGCAGCATATGCATGGAAATCTGTAAACTGCTGGTATCTCAAACGGAATTTTTGTCTTGCAGGGATCGAAGACGTTGAGAGATTTTTGGACAAGTGGTAAATCTGGTTTTGGTTAGTTTTGTTTAGTTTTATTTCTAAGGAACTTTTGACATGTGTTAGGTGATGTTTTCAATGTACAGAAGGACAACAGTGACCAGTGTGGGGTGACTTTCGGACTTATTGCCTTTGGTTGTTGTGAAGTGTATTTTGCGATGGAACACTTAAAATCTCTAACGTGGAAATTATTAGAGAGAAGAGCTCTTCGAATCAGCCATCTGAGACAGACATCTTTTAGCTTCGTCTCCCTCTAACAATATATTAGGTGGTACAGGCTAGAATACGAGCCAGTTTCAGTTGAGCAATGAAGAAGCCAAGAAGATTATTGGCGAAACGTCAGCAAGTCCGATTCATCAACTAACCGACCCAGGCGGAATCCAGTAGGTAGCCACCGTAACTCTATACACCATTACGTTTTACGATTGAAATGGAATTGAATGGAAAAATTGGAGATTAATAATCTCCAATTTTTAGATGTTAATTATCAATAGAAAAACAGACCTAACATTGGGTCATTCTTAATGCATTGTCACATCACCATTCGGCTCCTAAATAATCTGTTATCAACTCTTTTGTTTACAAAGCCACAACACTATCCCAACCCGGTCACTAGACCCAGAATTAAAACACCTTACGTCTGCTTTTCTCTCTAATAATTTAAACATTCGATATATTAAGCGTTCCATTACAAAATACACTTTACACCTTCTAAATACAATGAGTCCGAAAGGAACCCCCACACTTGCGATGGTTGTCCTTCCTTAGGTCAAAACCAGATTAACCACTTGTCCAAAAATCTTTTAACATCTTCGATCTCTCAAAGACAAAATTTTATTCAGCGAAATTAAAATTCTTGCATGTCATTAATTATTCTACCAACGAAAAATACGAGAATCTATGGAAATCTATAAACAACCAAACAATCCTAATAGCGACTAAGGTCTTTACCCTTCACCGATAAGGAAATCAGTCATCTCAGACAATGTTCAAGCCCCTCCTTTAGTTCGGGCTCCTCCTTAAAGAATATGTAAGTAGGTACAGAGTAGAATGCAGTTTAACTCAGAACAACAACCGACGCAGAAGGAATCCAGAAGTTTTGTAAATAGTATTACAGTAGCCTATGATGTTTGCAAAAAATAGCAATTTTACTCAAGCTTCATCAGGGCCCTATATAATACGGAGAAAAACATTTCATCAGAGTTCAACAATGAAAATATGTATGAAAAACTTAAACAACGTGCCTCTTTCAACCTCTACACCAGAGAGATGACAAGAAATTTGAAATTAAATTATAAATGTACATGCTGTCGGCACATAACCTCCAACAAATAATCCAGGCATATATATATATATATATATATATATATATATATATATATATATATATATATATATATATATATATATATATATATATATATATATATATATATATATATATATATATATATATATATATATATATATATATATATATATATATATATATATATATATATATTGTGCCTTCATTATTTAATAATTTTTCTTTTTCGACTTTAATTACAGTCTTCTCAGTTCCACAGCTAAATTGATTTTTAACTTCATTGAATATTGCTTGTCTGTTGTCGGCACAGAACATAGACATTTTTGGGATGTTCATGTTTCTGGGTTGGTAGCATTTTTTGCCTTGGCTATCTATGGTTTTATCATCAAAATGGGCGATTTTTAGGAAAGAATATTTTTTTACCATTAATGATTTTTTAATAATTTTTACGTCTTGTGTTTGACTTGGTCCGTGTTAATGTTATATCGGTGTAATTATTTTCGTATAATAACATGAGTAGACTGTTTTGCCTGGATTATTTGTTGGAGGTTATGTGCCGACAGCATGTACATTTATAATTTAATTTCAAATTTCTTGTCATCTCTCTGGTGTAGAGGTTGAAAGAGGCACGTTGTTTAAGTTTTTCATACATATTTTCATTGTTGAACTCTGATGAAATGTTTTTCTCCGTATTATATAGGGCCCTGATGAAGCTTGAGTAAAATTGCTATTTTTTGCAAACATCATAGGCTACTGTAATACTATTTACAAAACTTCTGGATTCCTTCTGCGTCGGTTGTTGTTCTGAGTTAAACTGCATTCTACTCTGTACCTACTTACATATTCTTTAAGGAGGAGCCCGAACTAAAGGAGGGGCTTGAACATTGTCTGAGATGACTGATTTCCTTATCGGTGAAGGGTAAAGACCTTAGTCGCTATTAGGATTGTTTGGTTGTTTATAGATTTCCATAGATTCTCGTATTTTTCGTTGGTAGAATAATTAATGACATGCAAGAATTTTAATTTCGCTGAATAAAATTTTGTCTTTGAGAGATCGAAGATGTTAAAAGATTTTTGGACAAGTGGTTAATCTGGTTTTGACCTAAGGAAGGACAACCATCGCAAGTGTGGGGGTTCCTTTCGGACTCATTGTATTTAGAAGGTGTAAAGTGTATTTTGTAATGGAACGCTTAATATATCGAATGTTTAAATTATTAGAGAGAAAAGCAGACGTAAGGTGTTTTAATTCTGGGTCTAGTGACCGGGTTGGGATAGTGTTGTGGCTTTGTAAACAAAAGAGTTGATAACAGATTATTTAGGAGCCGAATGGTGATGTGACAATGCATTAAGAATGACCCAATGTTAGGTCTGTTTTTCTATTGATAATTAACATCTAAAAATTGGAGATTATTAATCTCCAATTTTTCCATTCAATTCCATTTCAATCGTAAAACGTAATGGTGTATAGAGTTACGGTGGCTACCTACTGGATTCCGCCTGGGTCGGTTAGTTGATGAATCGGACTTGCTGACGTTTCGCCAATAATCTTCTTGGCTTCTTCATTGCTCAACTGAAACTGGCTCGTATTCTAGCCTGTACCACCTAATATATTGTTAGAGGGAGACGAAGCTAAAAGATGTCTGTCTCAGATGGCTGATTCGAAGAGCTCTTCTCTCTAATAATTTCCACGTTAGAGATTTTAAGTGTTCCATCGCAAAATACACTTCACAACAACCAAAGGCAATAAGTCCGAAAGCCACCCCACACTGGTCACTGTTGTCCTTCTGTACATTGAAAACATCACCTAACACATGTCAAAAGTTCCTTAGAAATAAAACTAAACAAAACTAACCAAAACCAGATTTACCACTTGTCCAAAAATCTCTCAACGTCTTCGATCCCTGCAAGACAAAAATTCCGTTTGAGATACCAGCAGTTTACAGATTTCCATGCATATGCTGCAAAGAATACATTGGAGAGACCGGACGAAAAATATAAACTAGGCTTAGAGAACATGAACGAGCCTTAAGGCAACCATAAATAAACTCATTAGCAGTTGCCGAATACAATAACAAAACGGGACATCAAATTCTATTCCATAAAACTAAAATTCTTGCATGCAATCAATTCTTCTTTCAACGAAAAATCCGAGAATTTATAGAAATCTGTAAGCAACCAAATAAACTTCACCGCGACTCCGAGACAATATTCATGCCTCTCCTTTAGCTTCGCCCTCCCTCAAACAATATATAAGCAGGCACAGGGAAGGATGCAAGCCAGTTTCAGTTTAGCTCTGAGAAGCCAACAGGACGATTGGCGAAACGTCAGCAAGTTCGATTCAACAACAACGAACGCAGGAAGAATCGAGAAGTTTCGTATCTGATGACTGTATTTTAAACTTTAGAACACACTTTCTTTTCCCACGGCTCCGAGCCATTTCGGACATTTCAGCAACGGATGCTTTCGGAGATTTTACCACACGGTTTGAATTTTGACGTTTGTCAATTCTGACGATCATATCAGTGAATGAATTCGTTTATAGTATGCAACATGTTCGGTAAACTTTTTAACTCACTCGTTTATTAAACACTCTCTCCGCTGCGCTCAGCTCGTGTCAAATAAACTCGTGAGCCAAATGCCGTTTATCGCACTTGTTGCATAATATACCATTTTTATTTCCTCGATAAGTCTAGATGTATTTCATATAAGAAGAGTTGTTCAATGAATATAGTGCCATATATATGTCATACTAGAGAGCTAAAAGTAATATCAAAATTTAGTGTGATAAGTAATATTTTTTAGGCTGAGAATCTCAAACACGGTAATGGTATAATAAGTGTTAAATTAACCTAGTGCGTCTTTTCATACTTAATGATGAACTCTAATTAATTTTTATAATTTTTTGTTCATAAAGTTTGACGTTATTTGACTTCATACTGGAACAGAGCAAATATGTCTACGTGCAAAACGTGCTTTGCAAATATCTCAAGTTGTTTGCCAGATCCTTACTTTGAATACTCCGTGGTATATATTGGCAATGTACAGCAATTCTCCTCGAGAACTTAAATATCTCTCTATGTCTAAAATTTCTCTACGCTATTTGGCAGTTCGACATAAAGCACAGCACTAACATTCAAACCAAAGTTTAAGTCGATATAAGCAAATGCAACCTTTATGGTAAATAATTGCATGAAATTATTTTTTTTACTCACATTCTACCTTGCAGCATTCAAAGAAGGAAGACCATATCGTTGAAAAACCGTATTCACACACAAGTCATATCAAACCGGTGATAATTTGAAATTTAGTAATGCGTTTTTGTATGTTTATGATTTAACAAAATAAATATAGGAATGATTATTATAAATTGCGACCAGGATTTGAAGTCGGTTGCCTAGATAAATGATTTCAATGCACTTGGAATTTGTGTGCGTCAACAAATTTATCTGTAGGAGTAATAAATGACGCCGACATTTTTTGTGCGTCCATAAAGCTAGTACACAATAATAATAATTTTATTATAGTGAATTGGAAAACAAGATTATCTTAGTGACAATACCTTTTCTTCAATGGGGTGTGGAATGAAGCCCAAACTACTCCACGCGGTTTTCTATATTCCAAATTGGTGCAACGTGGATACGAGCGGAATAAACACACTTTGGAATGAACAGTGACCGTGAATTTATCGAGTCATTTCACCGGCGTAGCCACTTCTGCGCTGCAATATTGATTAATTCGCAGGAAAATTACAGCAATTTTCTCATACTTCTCGTACAATTTGAATTTGTACAAGCGAGATAAAAACTGACCAGGCCTGGTTGTCGACTGCTATAGATAGAATTATTAAGGACGATTGAAATGAGGTCATCGTTTACGGCTTCCCTATAACCTGTAAGGAATGTAGAGCTAGTTTATCTACCGCGGGACACGTTCATATTTAACTAAAAAAGATGCTTATATTTGCGTGGGTTAGTACCAACTTTCTTTTTTTAATTGAAACTACCTACCTGTATGTGCAGTGTTGCCGCTTCTATATAAAAGTTGCAACATGAAAAAAGTAGATTTTGTTGAAATTTCTCTATTCCTGTATTACCATCATCGAAAGAAAAAAATGTTTTATAGTTTTTCTAGGTTTTTAACCAATTTAGTCCCGTGAATTTCATGCTTTTATATTTATAAAAAAAACAGAGTGCTTCTATTTAAAAAAATCCTTTCAAATTTTGATCATTCTGTATTGATTTATTTCTAAAATTTCAAAATATATTTCCAAAGTAGGGACCCACTTCTGTAAGGAAAACAACTAAATTACATAAAAAAGGCTTTCAGTTGGATAAATCAATAGATATACAATAAAACCTCTGTTAGTCACCACTCTCATTAAACGACCACTCGTATATAACTACCTCGTATAACAACCTTACTTAAAAACAGCACGCCAAATGTAAATGGCATAATTTTTTTTTTGTGTGAAGTTATCAATATAGACCGATAGGACAAAGAAGTTGGTCGAAAAAGTAATATTCCATAATAGCAGATAAGAGCAGAAACAGAGATAAACAATGTAAGGCAGCATAATTTCATACACTAAGTCGAACAAAAGAATGCATTAAATGTCGACTACCTATATCGTCTCAAAATTAAGATAAATGTCTTATTTGGCGGTGGTTAAAAAAGTTGCTTTAAATGCCATGGACGCTGTTGTTTTTGCATTTAGCGTGACCCTATAATCCTTTAATATGGAAACTAAGTCAATTTTGCTTTGTAATAGGCCGAATCTTAGGCCTAATTTCAAAAGTTGATAACTATTGTATTACTGGGATTTTACCTATACATTCTTGGACCTTCACTAAAAGGTAAGTACACTGTATTCGATCTAAAACCTTATTCTTATTAAAACTATCTGAACCAAACTGCTCTGGATTCGGATAATATTCTGGATAACAATGTAAATCTGCCACCGCCTCAAGTGTCAGGTGCGTGTAAGTTTTGCAACATTTTCTTGGCAAGAACGGCAATATATGATATTTTCGCATAGCCTGCGCTAGAAATTAATGAAATAAATATGGCAGATGACAAATTTAGGTTATCGTTGATCATATTTTCTAAGTATATCATATCCTGGATTGGGTCATATGTCATTTAGACGCTGTTATTTTCCAAAACTTCGTTTATAGCCTGTCGAAGTCTGTCTTGTACTTCATGGTTCAGAGCTAACTCGAACAAGCTCCACGTCATAACGTTAATCTTCTGCCACCTTACCCGGATTTTTTAATTGAAGCATTAATTATAAGAAATCTTTTCGATGAAATTTTTCCTTCTCTTAGAAAGGCCGGGACAGGCAACCGAAATGAAGATATTATCTAACATAAGGATAAAGGTTGGAGATGTGTCAAAAAACATGTAAACGTAGGTCTGGAAATGCTTCCAATATATGGGATGCTCACTATAAAAATAAACGGATTTTTTACGATATATTGTACGAAATGTCCAGTACCGTCGCGAATAGTATTATCACTGACTTTTTTGCAATGCCAAGGCATGGGTGCAAGTTCTTAGAAACATAGTCCGTATTACATTCGATATACGCATCTGACGAATGAAAACTTTTTTTTACGTTAAAAGATACAAAGATACAAGATACAAAAAATATTATGGATTCCTATGTGCCAATAAATATTTTCTTGGATAGCTTCTTACTATCTTATATAAATTTTCATGATTATAAATTTGTGTTTTGCCTAGCAGTTGTAAAATTTCAGTCGGTAAAATTTAGAATACAAATTATCCTTGTTTTATGAGAAAAATCTGTAAATTTATTACCTTATCTCTGTTTTGTTTATAAATGCTTTTATTTTATTTTATTATATAAGCCTGCAATATGGAATAAATTGGAATTGGCAACATATGTTTTAATTTCACGTTAGCTGTGTACAATCTAAACGTCGATTGCGCGCTGTCTTAATTGTGTACCAAGGTGATATTGTTATTGGAAAATTTGGTTAATTTGGTTACTAAATATTATTTTTGTTTTAATATTTCTATACATTGCTCAGTAAATGGATTATTTTTTATTGAGCAATTAAGCTATTATTATTGTTACATATTATTATTATGACAAATTTCACACGAGCGTATTAGGGTGCTTCATTTTTAGGCGATATTTTTTTTCTCTGTGCTACCTGAAAATCTGATACGTGATAGAAAATAAAAAATTATGCCGCCGGGTAAAAGGCTTTAAGTTCATTACAAATTCAATTTCCTATTTAAACAACACAGAAAAAAAAATTGCGGATTTCACTTGATTTTTCGAAGTGAAGAATTTTTTTTTGGGACAAACGCGTGTATAGCTTTTGTAGAGCATAAAATTTGCTATAAAAAGTTCCTATGCGGACATTCTCCTCGACCAACAGCTTTTAAGTTATAGAGCTCTGAAAATAAATGTTCATTATAATTGATATCAAATCATTTCTAAATTATTATTTATTATTTTTACATTAAATAGCAATTAATTATAAACAGAAGATGCAAGTTTCTAATTTCCAAAATTATTTTGGAATCAAGTAGAGAAAACGAAAATTCAATTATTAAAAAATATTAAGTTTAATTAATAATAAATAATAATAGACATTGAGAAACTATTCATGTTTGTAATCCAGTGACCAACTCTAAAATTTAGTGAACGAATATAAATTTTTATTAATAAATAATGATATGTAGAATTGTAATTTTTATGTTATTTTGGAGTTTCTGTTGACATTAAAGTTTTTTATTAGCATTAGGAAATTGCTTTCTATGCATTGCCACAACTTGTAATAAATATTGTTTCTGTTCTTCATCCGATTAAATGTATCTATCCATTGTCTTTCAGCAGCATCGTTCACGACATGTAAACTTCTCAGAACTTTTAAACACTTATCATAATCTTTATCAGATCTCCACTCATTTGGATGTAATTTTAAAAATTCAGTCGGCAGCTTAAATCTATCAAATAAAACTATTGACTGCCTTGATGCAAAATCATACAAATTTTTTGTCATGAAAGAACTAATCTTGATATTTTTAACTTCGACGCGTTTGAAATTTGTAATTTGGCTATTTTTTTGATTAATTCATTCTATGATTTTTATTTTTGAGCTGACTCCATCATCGAAAAGTGATAAACAAATAAGTTCTATTTCCTGAAAAACGATTTCCCAAAGACACTGATGCCAATTCAAGAAAAAAGTATTTTTTTTAATGATTTTGCATTTATAGAAGAATAAAAAAAGTGTTTTTTTAAGTACCCTCAACTGATGAGAAATAAAAAGTGGGATACAATCTTTTTTGTCATTTATAACTGGAGCTATCAAAGGATCATCCAAGCCTGTTTTATAATCATTTTTGTTTATTTCTGGTCATTTCCATTGAAACTCATTGATTTATTTTACTTTTGGACCTGCAGTTACTGGATAATATATTAAAAAAAAACACAATGTAGAACCAGTTCATACACATGATTCCTGCATTCTAAATTCAACAAATTTCTTCCAATTTTCTTTTCAATAAGACTACAAACACCACTTTTAACACCTATCAGAATTAGAACGTTTCACATAAATGTGTCAAAGCAAAAGATTATCTCAAAAATAGTATACCAGTATTGACACTAGTAGTGTCAAAACATAACGCTCCAACTTTATCAGTTAAATTCCATTCCTGCACCAATTTAAATATCACCTCAGTCTGATTAAAATTTAGTTAATTTCGGAACTTTTGAGGAGGTAAAAGCTTCCCGTCGCAATGAAGAGTTATCGAATCCGGAGCTTTGAAATTTTTCTTCAAATTTTCTCCAAACCTTTTTCTATTTTTAATTCTCTGCCTACGAACTAAACTTGGCCAAATATTAACAGTTTCAAGAGGAACACCGTAGCTTTCTAGAGCAGCTGACATAGTAAGTGTTGCATCTCTATCTGTCACATTCGTACGATCCAGAGCAAATGTTACCTCAGGTGTACAAATATTTCGTTTTTAAAGGGCCGAGCTTGCAGAAAGTTCATCTTCAAAATTCGATGGCGTTCGTTTCAAAGAATGTGAACTCAGAATGCGGGATTCAAATGAGATGGTGCAGTTTGATAAAGATTTACTTAATTCTATAACAAAAAATGACAAAATGTTTCTGATTCTTCAGAGTCAGAATACGTTTTTTTTACGTCAAGCAATGCAAGCAAGCAAGACGAGCAATGTCTAATAGTTTTTTTAGACAAAAGCTTTAAATAATTTTCCTTAACTTTTTGAGCAACTGATTTAGTACTTGATGATTTTTTTTATTTTATTCTATTTATTATATAAATTTCGTAACTTTTCAACACTGTTTCGTACTTGCATCAGTGGCATTTTCGTTTTACTCCAAACACTATTCACTTCATGGATAACAATTTTTAAACTTTGATTCAGTGCTTTACCAAGAGATTTATAATTGGACATCAATAAACCCAAAACTTCCTAATTAGTTGGTAATTTACGATAAGATAAAATTTTACCAAAATAAATAAGAACTAAAAGTTCAGATTTTCTCGAAATTATATATTATGACTGAAAACTGAAATAAAAAAATTTTCTGTTATTTAAATAGGAATTTTTAAATGAGCTAAGCCGCTATTGCACTTAAAGCCTTTTACCCGGCGGCATAATTTTTTATTTTCTATAAAGTATCAGATTTTCAGGTAGCACAGAGAAAAACGCCTAAAATGCCTAAAAATAAAGCACCCTAGAGTGTATACATAAACATCTTACATTAAATATCTTGAAAAGAATCTAAGAAAATTATTTTTTATAGAATCGCAGTTTCAATGATCAAATTGTTGTTCTTTTGGGGTATGATTTCAGGATCAACTTCAGCCAACTAGAGGCCAGGATAACATACAGGAGGTTCGTGTTTCAACTTAACAAGTCAGAGCACCATTGCAAAAATAAAATTCATTGCTTATCGCTTATCGACACTCGAGAAATACGTTGCTGTCTCGAATGAGGACATTGTATTACGGGTTTGAAGAGCGGACTTTGATAGATACCATCTTTAAAACGCTTGAGACTTTTTAATATAGACGTACTAAAAAAATTCTGCAGTGCTATTACCATATTCAACAAATTTCCTTCGAAAAATTGCCCAGAGTACTGATGGCGAAATTTACTACCAACGTCCGTAGAAGGAAAAATACGTGTAATAAAAGAAGATATGTCTCATCCAACATTTATATGCATGCATATGCATATTTAATATTTATTAATTACAGACACCAAATAATAGGCACAAAAAGAAGAAATTACTTACAATATACCATTATTAAGAACAAACGTTTCAAGAAAATAAATCAATACATACTTTAGCACAACTGTTCACAAACTGATTAACTGATAAATAAAACTATAGAAATACCACTGCTCAAGTCAAATATTTCTGATTTTCTACTGCGTCGGGTAATGACGGAGCGCTGTCTGCAACCGAGTGACCATTGCTCTGAATGCACCAGAAATAGAAACCTGTGGCGCGGTTGTTAGGATTTTTGATAATTTTTTGGGGCTGGGCAAGAATAATAAAATTAAGTTTTAATTTATCTGAGAAAAAAAATATATTCAAGATTATATTACATTTATTAGATATTGATAGTTTAACATATAGTTAGATACGAGGTATACTTAAATACTTAAATCAAGTACCGTAAAAGTTACAAAGTATATAAGTATGTAAATGTAAGGAAATAAATGACTATTCTTCAACCAGTATCACAATCCACTGATCTGTTGCAAACTTCATGATGCAATCCCTGATATAGCGTGAAGAACCTGCGGCAATGAAATTGGAATGACACTATAAATAGGGTGTAGGTATACCCGAACTCGCTAGTTTGGGTGGGTTTAATTCATATCAACTAGTAATGCTAGTAATACACATTGGCATGAAATGTGAGGTCCTGTAAGTTCTCTTGTGTTAAGTGGTATATTTTTGGATTGGTATACTTATTAAAATAGCTAAGTTATTTGGAATTTGCGTGTATATGCAAGATAATATTTTATCATTTAAACAAAGTAGAGTGCCTCTTAGAAAATACATCCAAAACCATCTAAATCTTTGTAATAAAGTCCAGCAAAATTTTCCAAAACATTGTGATCTCACTTCTTCCTGTATCGGTTTTGTCTACGTCATCAGGCACAGCAGTACAATACAAACACAATTATTAGTTTAGGTTTTCTACTAGTGGACTACACGATCAATTTTTCTGACACTATTACGAAACTGTACAGTAACAGTACAGGGTGAGTCAACAATACAGTAAAATTCAATATCTCAATAGTTCTCAATATCCGATCGGTTTCAAAAGTTATAAGAAAGTGCTAAATTCAAAAGTTGTAAAGATTACCTTAACTTATTTATCCAAGGTTTTATTTTTTCCAGAAAAATAATAGTTTTCACACTTGCAAAAAAAATACGATAACCCCATTATTTTTGAAGGTAGATCAATATTTGATATTAGCGTTCGAAGATGACGTAAAAGATTTACATATATACTGAATTTGAGTTAGATGCTACAGGGTGTTCAAAATAAAGCAATAAATTTCGATCATTTTTAATTGAAAAATCCCGATTTTCTTAAATGGCACACCATATTATTATATAACCTACAACTTTTATTAATATATTTATTTTTAATACTTTAAGATTTATTTGAACTTTTCTACTTAGTTGGTCATTACAAACTGACGTTGTGAAGCTTTTACATGACAACTGAGTAAATAAATTCATAACATTTATTGTGATGTCAGTAAATAACCAAAAAAAACATTTTCCTAAAGGTGGAGTAATTGATATAATTTGTACACTGGGTAAGGCAGAAGAAAAAACTTTATTGGCGGAAATACTTTATAAGGCCAAGTACTCTAATAGACGTACTCGTATACCAATTAGACAATCTCTTCAGTGTTTAATGAAACGGTTTCATAGTAGTAATAGTATTGAACATTACAAACGGAGAGTGGTAAACTGGAATGCCATCAATGAGGACACAGAATTGGAAATTTTACTTCAAGTTCAAGATAATCCTCAGATCCCCAGTTTGTGATACACCAAAATCTACTGTTAATCACACCACAAGAAAACACAAATAGCATCCCTTTCTACACCAAGAACTTCTAGACCGTGATTTTGAACAAAATACAATTTTTTTGTCTAAAATATTGTTTTCCTATGAAGCTACTTTTCGTAATAATGGTGCAGTTAATGAAGTATTCCATTCTGGACACGAGAAGTGCAAAGTCAAAATCATTGGTCACGTTATGTGTTTTCTGAAATAAAACGCTATAAATTTATTGGACCATTTTATTTCGCGAACTACTTAATCGACCTAGACATTTAAACTTTTTACAGAATGATTTACCTTAACTCTTTCAAGAAGTTGATAACATTGAGATTCAACAAATGTGTTTTAAGCAGGATGGAGCTCCTCCGCATTGGCATCGAGAAGTTCGAGAATTTTTAAAAAATCATTAGCCATACTCGCCGAAACGGATTAATAAAGGTGGATTCATTGGATGGCCCCTCGATCATGTGACTTAATACCACTAGATTTATTTTTGTGGGGATATGTTAAATATAATGTTTATGTGAATCCCCGTACAACAGGAAAAGTTATGGAAAATAGAATTCGGGAAGCGTGCAGCAGTACAACACCGTTTATGCTAAGGAAAATCCAAGAAAAATACGAAAAAGATTATACATGTGTATATAAGTACAAGAACATGTTGCTGAATATTTATTGCACTATAAAAATAATTAAAAATGAGAACAGCTAATTTATAGTAATAGGTATTTAATATTATTTACTTCTTCTGTAGATGTAAAATTTGGCTAACCAAACTAATCAAAATTGCTAATAACTCTGTTTTGCTTTATCTACGGCTCCAATAAAATTCTTTCTACTGTTCATTTTTTTATATTTGGCTAATAATATAATAGTAATGGTCTTAGACAGAAAGAGGGCTAAATTTTGGAAAAGTTAAAATCAATGTCAGTATATTAAAAATAAGTATATGGTATACTTAATATAAGTTGCAGGTTTTTGTAAGATCTTTCAGAAAAAATAATGTATATGATGTGCTATTTAAGTAAATATATTCGTCATCTTCGAGTAACGCTAACATCAAATATGGCGTACGTGAAAAGTAGTATTTTCTAAGAAAAATTAAAATATTGAAAAAAACTTTTAGGTTTAGGTATGTATTATTATTAATAAAAAATGTTAAAGAATTTCAGAACGAATTCGAAACAAAATTTAAAAATAGAATGTTTGTTCCATTTTTAAAAATATATGTTTTTTTGACCACGCTTTTTTGAGCACCTCTTTACAACATTTGTATTTACCATTTTCTTATGACATTTGAAACTAATGAGGTAATCAACTATCGTTGATTCAGTACATATATTCCAAAAATCTATACTATTCTAAGAGAACGGTCATTTCTAATCATCAGTGTCCGGGTACTGTAACGAGCGTTATTTTTCTTATGTCTTGATCTTTAATAAATTTTTAGAACAAATGATACAGACTTAAAAATAACTATAATTATAATAACCCAACAACTCTTCACATTAGAATAGGGCTAAAATAAATGCATTGACCTTCATTAAAATTTTGTTTGTTTTGTTTGATACCATTTGTCTAGGTTCGATGACGTTACATGTCAGTATAAACAAATATTTATCATGTCAGGACTCGATGAAAAATTCAGATTGGGGAAATCGACGGAAAAAGGGCAGACAATTATTATCAATGAAAAAACTTATAATACGAAACAAGTAGAGACTTCTATTGCCATCCTTGCTAGCCCAGAACCCGATGTCGTTTTGGAAGCACTACTTTTCTTATCCAAATACGCAGATATCAGCACAGAAAATGCAAAATTTTTAATATCGAACGGTTTAATACAGAGACTAGTACAGTGCGACGCCAATATTTGCATTCTTCGTGTGTCGTTACGACTTTTAAGCGTCCTTCTTGATCTAGAAGAAGCTACACACGAAATACATCAAGAGAAATACGACCAAACGTTAAGACGAATTTTGGACATGTACGTCCATCCTAAAGATGCGCATATAACGCAATTCTGTGCAAATATATTATCCAAAGTGGTGTGGTCCCAAAGGATCAAAACTTTAGTTGATGATTCAGGTCTGCTAGCAGCAATCTTTGCAAATTTGAAAATATCGGGAAACGATCTTCTAGTTCACCACACGCTAAAGTTGCTTTTAAATATCGCACAAACTTCGAACGAACTTGCTTCCTGGGAGTTTCCAATGTGGCACTTAAACGCTGTGGTCGCCCATTTAAATAACAATGATTCAGGAACTGTCAATTTGGCATTCGATATAATTGAAGAACTTACAAATAAGAACATCCCTGTCATTCAAGAAGCATTTAAGTCCCTTCAGCTCGTAGAGAACATGCTTAAAATCATCATGAATGAAGAAAGGCAGGAGTATCACTCGAAAGCGCTTCTGATATTGCACAATTGTTTGAAGGCTGACGAAACGTGCTGGTACTTCTTAGAGTCCATCGAATTTTTGGAACTATGCCAGTGGGCCAAAACTTGTGCACTAACATATCTTTTGGCATTGATAGAGGTTTTTGTAGTTTTGACAGCTATTCCGGAAATAAAACAGATGCTGTTTGATTTGTCCGTGGAAGAATCGATCCTATATTTTTTCAGGAGCAACGAAAAGGAAGTATTAAATAAAACGTGTCAGGCAGTGTCGAATATGACAAGTCATAAGTATTGCTGCCAGAAGATGTTAACTCCAGTTGTAGCGAAAATTCTTGTTGACTTCCTAGATCAAGAAGATCCTCTAAAGGAAATCGCTCTTAAAACTATTTTGAATTTTATCAGAAGATATGTAAAGGCACTTGATATATTTGTATCTGCCGGGTTTCTAAAATTTTTTATGAAATGTATTCACCAGCAACACGACTCTGTGTCTGAAGAAAAACTACTAATTATTTTAGAAATCACCTACCGATGCGTGGCTCATCCGGTATACCAATCAGAAATAGCGTCGAACGAGTTGTTTATTAGAATATTTAAGTGGTTTGTGACTCATACGATCGAAGTCTCAAAACTTTGTTGCGAGCTGGCATCGCTTCTAATATCGTTAGAAATTTTCAGACAATTTTTTGTTACCGCAAAAATGTCAAGAACTCTGTTGGAGAGTCTGCGCTCCTGTGAAAATGAAGATTTGCTAACCATGATTTTAAATTTCATGTTTTGCGGTTTAACATACGAGGAAATTGCTTCTGATCTTTTAAGAAATGGGATAGTTATGTCCATAAAATCCTTACCTCAACACACTATAGAAAAAAGTTCCTTGATAAAGACAGTATTGCACTTAACTTACAATTGTTGCCTACAGATGAAATTTTTCGAAACCAATAGACTAGAAGTTTTTGAAAAAATTGATAATAAATTTTATGTTATTAACGGGGAATGGTACGGTCCCTTCCCGTTTTTGGAAGTTCTAGAAGTTATGAAAGTCTCACCAAGGCCTACCATATACTTGGTGGATTTTTCTTGTGAACTGGCGAAAGAAGAGATAGTAGACACTCCGACTCCAAAACGCACCAAAATTATTAGAAGGTCATCTAGAAGCTCGGACTCGCTAACTAACTTCAAAAAAGAATCCACCTCAACTCCGAAGAAAATGAGCTCCAGAAGTTCAATTGTTTCTGGGGAGTCGCTTATCTATTTTCCCACCGCATTTCAAATTAATTTCGGAAAAATATCACCCGATCCATTTCTTTCCCTTTATATCCGTCACATCAAGAAATATGAACAGTTTCTGAGCGGACGTATGAAAGAGAGGATAAAACATTTAGCGGAATATGTTAACACGCTACTCTGCGGTCAGACCGAAAATCTGAATTTGGCGCAGAAAATCCACGAATATAAACTACACCTGCAATTCCTCAAAAATAAAATAGGCAACAACGTAATTCCCATAGGATACCTAAGAGTGGGGTTTCACTGCGAAAGGGCGCTACTTTTCAAAACCCTGGCGGATCAAATATCAATTCCCTCATGTTTAGTCAAAGGAACCGGTAGGATCTATTGGAACGAAGTAGCGATTGTCGAGAGCATCGGTATTGATGAAATATTGAAATTTTACGTAGTCGATTTAATGGAGAATATAGGACAATTGACGCTGGTAGGTTCGAGAGAAGCGAATAGGTATTGCCGCACAAATTAAAAGTATTGTCCAAATTTCAATCTATTTCTTAGTTATTGTATTCGGAATTCTGATATCCTTATATTTCTGATTCCATTTTATCGGGTTCTGCTTGTTTGAAACCTTTACGTATATTGGACTTAAGCGCTGTCGTCGTCCATTTGAAGCAAAAACGATTCAGGCATTGCATTCCAAAAGCATTTCAGTCTCTTCAGCTCGTAGAGAACTTGCTAAAAATCGTCATGAATGAATAAAGACAGGAGTTTCATTCAAAAGACCGTCCGATATTGCACAATTGTTATGAGTACTGACGAATTACGCTGGATACTTCGTAAAGTCCATCAAACGGTTGGAACTGTGAATGTGGGTTACAAAACTTATCCGCTAAAATATATGTTGCTATTGATAGATGTTTTTGTATTCCGGAAATAAGACATACGCTCTTTGATTTGTCCGTGGAAAAGGAGGTATTAAATAAAGTCATAAATATTGGTGCTAGCAGATGTCAACTTCAGTTATAGTTACAATTTGTGTTTACATTCTAGATCAAGGAAACCCTCAAAAGAAAATCGCTCGAAATTACCTAAAAGCAGAGGATAATATTCGTATCACTCGGGTTTATCAAATTTTTTGTGAGATTTGTTCAACAGCAACACAGACTCTACATCTGAAAAAAAAAATAATTATTTTAGAAATAATCTACAGATGCGTAGCTCATCCGGTATACCAATCAGAAATAGCGTCGAACGAGTTGTTTATTAAAATATTTAAGTGGTTTGTGAATCATACGATCGAAGTCTCAAAATGTTACTGCGAGATGGCATTAGTTCTGATATCATTAGAAATTTTCATATAATTTTTTGTTACCTCAAAAATGTCTAAAAAATCGGTTTACTAACCATGATTTTAAATTTAATGATTGCGGTTCAACTAACGAATAAATGGCTTCTAATATGTTAAGAAATAAGATGGTCATCTCCATAAAATCCTTGTTGTGGCCTATCAATGAAATTTTTAGACTAGAAGTTGTTAAAAAAATTAATAATAAATTTTATATTATTAACGGAACTTTTAGAAGTAATGAAAGTGTCACCAAGGCCTACAATATACGTGGGCGACTTCTCTTGCGAACCGGCGAAAAAAGGGATAATAGACACTCCTATTCCAAAACGGACCAAAAATAGTAGAAGATCACCGAGAAGCTCCCAGCTGATAATTGATCAACAAGAAAATGAGGAGTTCAATTAGTTCCACGGAGTAGATTTAACTATTTTCCCACCTCGTTTCAAAGTAATTTCCGAGAAATCTCACCAGATCTGCTCCTTTCTGCTTATGTCCATCACATCAAGAAATAAGAATACTTTTTGAGCGAATATGTGAAAGAGAGGGCAAAATCTTTAGCTGAATTAGTGCGGCCCCAAAGAAAATCTGAATTTCAATTCCTCAAAAATAATATAGGTAACAACCTAATTTTGAAAGGGTTGATAAGACTGGGGTTTCATTTCGAAAGGGCACTGCTTTTCAAAGAGTTGGCCAATCAAAATATATCAATTCCCTCAAGTTTGGTAACCGAAGGATCTATTGGAACAAAGTTGCAATTTTGCGAGAGCATCGGTACTGACGAAATATCGAAATTTTACGCAGTCACAGTTACCATTTCTGGTAAGATTGTTAAAATCTTGGCACGTCTGAAACAGTGATTATAATAAATGTGATAGTCGTTTGTGATTCATATTATTCTTTTCGTAAGCGCTAACGGAAAACGTGGGCGAACAACAGTTAGCGGCGGAGACTCAGGGATTAATTTTTCAAAGAAACGTCCACAGGCTACTGCAATACTATTTACAAATTTTCTGGATTTCTCCTGCGTCCATTGTTGATGACTCGAAATTGCTATCGTTTCGCCAATCATCCTGTTGGCTTCGTCAGAGCTTAACCGAACCTGGCTCCCATTTAACTTTATACCTGTTTATATATTGCTTGATGGGCGTGAAACTGAAGGACGAGCATGAACATTTTGGTTTGTTGGTGGCAGGTCTGGCTGAGTCGTGGTTAAGATTGTTTGGATGTTTATAATTTTTTTTCGTTGGTAGAAGAATTGATTGCATTTAAAATTTTCTAGTTTTATCTAATAAAATTTTAGGTCCGGTTTCATGATTATCTTCGGGAACTTCTGATCAGTTTATTTGTCTTATTTTTAAGGCTATTTCATGTTCTTTGAGTCTAGTTGATATTTTGCGTCCCATCTCTCCAATGTATTCTTAGTCGCATATACACCGAATGCTGTAAACTATTGGTATCCCAATGTACGGAAGGACAACAGTAGCAGGTGTGGGGTTGCTTTCGGACTTATTGTCTTTGAAATTTTGTGGTGGAGTGTATTTTGTGACGCAACGCTTAATATCTGTAATGTGAAAATTATTAGAGAGAAGAGCAGAAGTAAGGTGTTTTAATTCTGGCTTTAGTGACTCAGGTTGAGATTGATTTTCGACTCTGAAAACAGAAAGTTGATAAGATATCCGTCTGTATACGTAGATTCTCTGTAAACAGAATGACCACATGTTGGATCTGATTTTCTATTGATAAGAATATGAATATGAAGAATGGAAGATCATTATTAGTTCCTAATTGAAACTAACCAGAATGACCCGTTTATCTAATGTAATGGTTTTTAATTGTTCAATGAATTGAAAGAAAATAAGCACGAAACTATCCGTTTTCCCTGTAAGGGGTTTTAATATAGAAACTAGATATTTTGCTATAGAATATGTTAGAGAACCAATGATGCTGACAATAGATCGAAGATTTGGTCCAGTTTTGTGAATGTTAGGTAGCCTGTTCCTCAAGCTCCACCTCCATCAAGTAGAATGATTGGCTAAACGTCAGCAAGTTCAATTTATTTTTAAATTTTGTGGACTAGAATTAGATACGTTATATTTGACATGAACAATATGTTGATTGCGAAAAATTTGACTATGTCTGTTCTAAACCCGTTAGGATAAAATGCTGGTACCACAATAGACTCCATAACTGTTTGAAGTTAAGAAGTTAGGAAGAATGAATGTCATTATTTTTTTTTTAAGAAGCTTGTAGGCTGCGAAAATTTTAGGTACGTCCCTTCTAGGTTTCTTTCAACAAGACCAGCCAGAAATTGACGCTTTAGAAATCCAGAAGGATATATGTCCACATAGATATTTAATCAAGGGATATAGCATTATTTACATTTTAATGCGATGCCAATATCTTAACGGACAGGAACAATGTTGCCAGTGCTGTACAAAGAATAATAATTTTATGTACTCCAGAAATTGAACTCATATGATAACGTGTCCACCAACCAAATAGCGCAATGTTTAAGAATAGCCATAAGAAATGGCTTTTTTTATTATAACCAAGTTAAAACGGATAAAGGGGATAAACGTTTACTGCAATGTGAACAGGTATTTTTGGATATTGCTATTACAAAGAAATTATTAAGTAAAAATGTCGCAGTCCTATGAAGTGAGTCCTAGAAGAAGAAAGCACACGGCAGTTTGTATAGCGTAATTTCAAATGTATTTAGAGAAAACGAATACGTGTTATTTTCCTGTTTTGTGTATTTGTGTATATTATTATTTATGTAGATTTGTTATGATAGCTCAAAAACACCGGACATGGTTTGCATTAGCTGTAAAAGTTTGTTAAATTTGTTTAACTTTACTATTTGTTTAACTTTACTTTTACTATAAATTTATGAAAATTTTTATTTGATGCATTGAAATATCCGCCAATTATTGATTGTCCTTCTCCTCTCCGGAATTAATTTCTAGCACTTTACATGATTACAATAGCAACCAATTATATTGCGAGAACACTCCTCACCCCATTTTTTTTGTGATTTTGAGTTTTGATTTTTGTGATTTTTGTTAGACGTCTGTGACCTACAATAAATCTCGTTTATTAATATAAATAATATAAATATAAATGCGAATTAATTCAGCTGTTTTACTACACTGCTGCAAAAGACTACGCAGAAAATTATTCCAACATCACTCTGGTCGGATACCCAATATCTAGGGATCACATATATTTTGAAAGTTTTCTTTGAACTTTTCTAAATCCTGAATACACGAGCTGCAGTAGAGCCATCTCACTATGAAGTCAAACTCAACGAAACCAAACTTTTATATAACTTTCATATTATTATATAGTATTACTCTTGTCATAATAATAAGTAAAAGGCATGTAGGTTAAATAATTCCAAACAGGGTTTCCTATTATAATTATTATTATAATTAGTAATATAATTCAAAGGAATGGATCGTAATTAACTAGGTTATGCTTTGGTGAACAAGCTCCTGGTCCGCAAAAATTCGGTTGCTGAATCCGGCCAGCCGCCTTCTTTCTACTCTCCCATGCCAGTAGAGTGTACTCCTACATATTGTCGTATACGTCAATAAGAAAATAGCCCTGAACACTATTCACCCAGTCATTGCCAGTAATTGGCAATTATAATTATAATTATTCCACGTGTGCCTTTTCTAACTGGGTTATAAGTAGATAGGAAGAAATTATGTGTTCTGAGTTCAGCCATAAACATAAACATTTATTAGTATTTCACCTAGTATTAGTATTAGTATTACACCCGCAGTTAGGCATAAATAATGCGGTTTTTCTTTAAATTTTACTAGTGATTATTGGTTAGAAAAATAAAGCATTTGGCAAAATTGCTGTTGTTATTTAATATTGGCCTGAGGTGTTGAAGTAGAAAGACGACCGTTTTTGGGAAAGATGACATTACGGGTCTTTTTAGATTATAATCTCTGCCAGATTTAGAACCAAGTTCCTAAAAGAAACTGTAATTTACGTTTTTGAAAGCTAATTTTCGCAGCTAAAAATAATAAATTTGTTTTAATTTACAAGCTCTCTATTTACAACCGCAAAATAACCATAACAATATTTTTCTCTGCTTCCAACTCTAAAGTGCCTAACCATGCACAGAACAAACTTGCGGAAAGTGTCCCTTTAAGACGTCAGCTTGGTTACCCATGGCCACGAGGCAGTTCAAACATTGTTTTTAATTGTGTGTTTGTATTAGTTGTAAAGATATAGACATACAATACAATACACCTAAGAATAATAAAGTTATAGGTATCTTGCTTTATAGGATTTATTTCTTTATTCTTCACTTAAGAATGCCTATCGTTCTCGATATACTATAGGTATTTTATAACACAACAATACTCCTTCCTGTTAATTGAGTTCTATCACACAAAATATTTGAAAATATTTTGCCGAATTCTTTTATTTGTAAATAAACATTTTATAAATGAAACAAAATTTTATTAATTATATAGTGAAGCTATACAACCAAGCCTAATAAACACAATATTTTGCTATAAATCAAACTTTCGTAATATTGAGATATAACAACTTTTTGGCAATGTCAGTTTGATCGTTCAAACTGACTTTGTAATTCTTTAATATCGTTGCCAGTCCTACTTTGCTCTGCAGTAAACCAAACCTCAGACCTAAAAAATAATTAATCAAACTTGGGTAATGGAAAGCATCAAGGAGCGATTACCAATGCATTGCCTAGGCCCGTCTCCAAAAGGCAAGAATAAAACATCTGGTCGGTAATCGGGATGGTCTATGTTAAATCGATCAGGATTAAATTTCTCTGGATTGGGATAGAATTCTGGATCGTAATGGAATCCTGTTACTGGTAGCCACACTTTTGTGCCCTTTTCAATAACCAAATCAGATTCCGGAACTGTATATGTCTTTGTACAACGCCTAGGAAGAACTGGAGCTATCGGGTACTTTCTCATTGTTTCTGTAAATCGATATAACGTTGGAAATGGGAAACTGGAAATATCCTCCAGTCACTCACCATTGACAACGTTTTCCAAGTCTGTAATTTCCTGAATAGCTTGATACGACATTTCGTTATTATACTTTTCCAAGCCTTCGACAATGCTTTTCCTTAGTTTAGCTTGTATATCTTGATGTATAGATAATTCGTACAACGCGTGCGTCATGACATCAGAAGATGTTCCAAACCCTCCAATAAAGAAGACAAAGCATTGAGCCGCTAACTCCATGAAGGTCATGGCAGAATGATCGGTTTTTTTCACGGATAAATCGTCGTCTTCCTTAACTTGCCCTTGGTTTTTCAATTGAAGCAGCAGTTGTAAGAAATCTTTGCGAATCACATTGTTTTTCTCTCTGTAATCCACGTTGCTCCTCACCACGTTCACGAAAAAATCTTCAACGTCCTGGTCTATAGCTTTCAGCCGAATCACATCAATCACTGCCTTCGGCAGAATCATCATCATTACCCCCTTTATCTGTTGAGCGAAAGTTTGCTCGGCCAATCTCCGGCCGTACACCCGGAAGTCGGAATTGGGATCTTTCAAGCTGTTGCAATCGATTCCAAACGCGCAACTGCCTATTATGTCCGTAGTAAATCTCGCAAGCACATCTCGCATTTCAACCGGTTCAGCAGTTTTTGAATGATTGTTCATAATAGAATCTAGACCAGAGGAGCACGCTACCATTGTCTGGTACATCATTTTGATTTTACCTAAATATTGAAAAAAAAAATCTACTATTTTAAAATTGTCAACAACAATTTACAAATCTGAATTCATGGTTAGAGTTTAGAGATTTATTTGTAAGTTTAATTCATTCAAGCAGTAGATTAGTGCCCGTTCAAAAATTTCACTATCTCGGAGGTTGTTTACACGACTCAACGGCAGTAGTTATTAAATCATCTTCGGAATTTTGCGCAGCTAATTATTAAAACTTTTAAACAACTTTGTGCTAGAGATACGGCAGTAATCACGAAATCATTATTTGATTTAGATTTAGAAAATAATTTAGAAAAATTTAGTTAGCACTAAACTTGACAGAAATACAGGAGGTGAATGCAAAAAGTTTAAAGGCAACAAGCCTACAATTCTATCTACAATCGAGGTCAGACTTGTTGGAAACCATTTAGCGTAAAAATTGTACATCACTATGATAAAAACAAACTTTTAGAAGTTTCAAATCAAACAAAATGTCCCGTTTGTTTGTTTGTTGTCCAATGAATGATCGAATTCAAAAGGGAAAGTCACTAATACTTTGCTTGACCAGTTTGCAAATTTTAATAAATGTTGTACCAAATTAGAATCTAAAGGTGGGCATAATGTTTTTTTGTCTTTAGATTACGATACCAAGAACAAGGGGTTCACTTCTCGGAAATTGATACAGCCGCAGCATCTGAAACAGGGTAATGAAGAAACGGTTTCTCACGTGTCTTCAAATTGGAATAATATTTTATATTTGTCTACTGCAATGGTAGAGGTGCAATGCAAGAACGGTTTGTGTCACACTGCGCGGACATTATTGGATCCTGGGAGTCAATCGTCTTATATAACTTTATAGCTATGTAATAAATTGTAAAATTTAAATGGTTGTCAAAATGCTTGTATTGTTTAGTAATGTCGCAAATCACTAGTAGTATTCCAGTTATTCCGGTATATAGAACTAGGTTAATGATCCCGGTTAATATAATTTTGCATATCCATCTACTAAAAAATCGGGTAAAATTTATTTAATCATTGGAAGGGGTCTTTTCCATTTTTATTTATGATTTAAATACTCTTACATATGGGTACTCAGATTCTAGTTTTCTCGCAGTAAAGGAGCCTGTATTGTATTGAGAAGACAGGTGTCAAACGAACCTCAAATTTAGAATTCTGTAAGCGATTTAGGAGAAGAGGACTTTTGGAATTGGAGCACAGGAAAATTTGTAAAACTTCAGGTTGTTCAGCTCTATACCCAAGACCAAAGTTGCGCCACTAAAAAGTCCTCCCTTCCTCGCCTCAAACTATCGACTTCAGTTTTGGTCGCTAATTTAATTTCTTTCGCCAAAGTCAGCTATTCTGGTCTTGGTTTTGAATACATGGTCTGACTCCATGGTAGCTCTGGGTTGGATAAGAGCGCCTCCAAATAAATGGAAAACCTACATCGCAAATCGAATGTCTCACATTAAAATTATTCTTCCTCCATTTTCTTGGAGGTTTGTCTCATCACAATTCAACCCAGGTCATATTGCATCGCGTTGTATGCTGCCGGAAGAGCTATTGAATAACTCAATGGGGTTTCACGGTCAAGAGTGGCTACGTCGTTCGCATGTTTACGCTACGACCTTTCCACAAAAATTCTTTTCCTTCTCAGATTTATTTGACAGATTTTCTTCTTTTCCAAAAATTCTTCATATTATCGCTTATGTTTTGCGTTTCTTAGATCTGAAAATAAAACGTCAGTCTGTTGATGTATCAGTGATGACTGAAATTGCATTACATTTCTAATTATTCGTCTTTGTTCGAATCATTCAACAGCAATGTTTTCGGCCTATGCGCAAGTTGTGTCTTGTAATGGACACAGGGTATTCTCAGGGTGGGCGGAAGACTTATTACATCCATGCTTCCATATGACCAAAAAATCTCTGCTCTCTTACCGTTGTTGTTATCACAATAAATACCTGCATCCAGGTTTTCAAACTCTATCATATATGTTGTTACAAAATTTTTGGATTTTTGTTTCGAAACGAGTTATAGGACGGAATTTGTCTCAGTGTTGCTGCTGTTTTCGAGCAAACCCCAAACCGTATATTCCACGTATGGGAAATCTGCCCTCTTATCGCATCTCACAAGTCAAGCCATTTTAGTGTGTTGGTGTCGATATGGCAGGTCCTTTTCAAATTACCATGTCAAAACTACGAGGTGCTAAGGCTCTAAAAGCATATCTTTGTCTTTTTATCTGCTGTTCAGTTCGTGCTATCCACCTTGAGATAGTTTCTGATTTATCAACTGATGCGTTGCGAATCATCATAACGCGCCGAGAAAAACTTTCTGCTCTCCACAGCGATTGTCAAAATTCATAGCCAATATCATCTCAGATGCAGCTATAGAAGAGCAAATTTCTTAGTCATTTAATCCTCCCCCTAGTCCGCACTTCGGTGGTTTGTGGGAAAAGCGCCAAAAACACCTAGTTCGTGTCGTAGGTGACCACATCATGACCTATGAAGAACTCAATAAAGTTTTTGTTCAAATAGAATCAATTGTTAACTCGAGACTCATACGCTCTGTTATTAACGATCGCAATGACATGAGCATGACTTCTTCTTGCAAATGCAGCAGCACTTTTGGCGCCGATGGCACAATGAATATCTCACAAGCCTAAACCAACAAAATAAATGGTGCGACAATCGCCCCAATCTTGATCTGGGCACACTGGTAGTCATAAAAGAGGAAAACACTCCAGGTCTTGACTGGCGTCTTGCGCGTATAGCCGAGGTCTACCCTGGCCCTGATGGCATTGTCAGAGTGGTCAAGGTTCGCACTGCGACTGGTGTCTACTTTTCTGGTGTCTCTTTCTTGAGCTTAACTGGAATGCCGTATCCGCCCACGCCCTTAGGCGCAGGCTTCACTTGAAATCACGGTGAAGCGCTAAATCGGTGGCGCTGACCGTGTCGTTTAAAAGGTAAACTTGAACGCGTCATATCGTATGCGTGGTGATCACCAAACAAACAAACAAACGCGGAAACCCAATATCTAGGGATCACATATATTTTGAAAGTTTTCTTTGAAGTTTTTCTAAATCCTGAATACGAGAGTTGCAGAAGGGCCACCTGACTATGAATCCGAACTCGATCAAACAAAACTTTTATGTTAGTATAATGTAATGAGTTGAAATCTCGAGAGCTAGTTTTGATCAATTTTTAATTTTTCAAACATATTTCATGTCATAATAATAAGTGAAAGACAAGTATGCGATAATGTTGTTGAAAAATTTCAAACATTATAGGTAATATAATTCAAAAGAGTGTATCGTAATTAACTATGTGATGCTTTGCTGAACAAGCTGCTGGCCCGCAAAAATTTCGTTGTTTAAGAATCCCGTATTCAGCCAGCAGCCGTACCTGCGTATTGTCCTATAAGTCGATACGAAAATACCCCTGAAAACTACACAAACATGTGACTCTTTATAAATAACCAATTTAATTGTCTGATTCATAAAATTCTGAGTTATAAGTAGATAGGACGAAATTATTGGGTAAAATATCTCTGCCGAGCCATAAACTTAGAATGTCAGGATTCATTACTATTTTACAGCTAGGTATGGATAATACTGTTTTTTCTTTAAATGTTGCCATTGAATATAGGTTAGAAAAATAAAGCATTTGGCAAAATTGCCATTATTATTTACTATTGGGCGGCGGTGTTGGAGTAGGAAGATGATGGTTAGTGAGAATCATGACATTATTGGTCATTTTAGATAATTATCTCTGTCAGATTTAGAATGAAGTTTCTCAAAACTCCGTAATTTACGTTTTTAAAAGTTCATTTTCGCAGGGAAATAAAGAATCGATTACAAGCTGTCTATTTAAAACCGCAAAATAACCAACATAAAAATTTTCTCTGCTTCCTACTCACGGTCACGAGTCAGTTCACATAGTTTTTAATTGTGTCGTGTTAGTTTGTATTAGTTATAAAAATATAGACATACAATACAATACACATAGCAATAATAAATTTATAAGTATCTTGCTTTATCGGATTTATTTAAGTTAAGAATGCTTATCGTTCCCGATGTACTAGAGGTATTTTACAACATTTTATAAATGGAACCAACTGAATTTAACAGTCACTATTCTTACTATTTTAATTAAAATTTATATAATTAATTATCAGCGAAACTATACAACCAAGCCTGATAAACTCTTTATTAATCGTAATTTTAAAATTAGACAGAGATCAATAAAATGTCTAGCCGCCCACAATAGTTTGCTATAAATCAAACTTTCGTAATATTGAGATATAACAACTTTGTGGCAATGACAGTTTGATCGTTGAAACTTACTTTGTAATTCTTTAATATCGTTACCAGTCCCACTTTGCTCTGCAGTATACCAAACCTCAGACCTAAAAAATAATTAAACAAATCCTGATAATGGAAAACATCACTAATTCCATAAATGCATTGCCTAGGCCCTTCTCCAAAAGGCAAAAATAAAACATCTGGCCGGTAATCGGAATTGTCTCCATTAAATCAATCAGGATTAAATTTCTCGGGATTGGGATAGAATTCTGGATCGTAATGGAATCCTGTTAGTGATAAATTGGTTAAGGCTTTCGCGGCCCGTTGATAAGCTATTATCTTGGTTCGGGTTTAAAGGCCGTCGTCGATTGGAATTACTTCCTAACGTTTCGCTAGCATGAGTGGCGAGCTTCTTCAGAGGTCCTTCCATCTCCGATGTTGGACGTAGACTGACGATTTCTCCTGCGCAGGTTGTATTTATGCCGATTGGTGGTGGGCGGGACTTGTTCCGCTTCGGTTGGTCTCGGGATATCGATCGGTACTGCTCGGGCGTTCCTAAGGATCGGGTTCCAGATTTGGTTGAGTCTAAGGGTCTCCTCCTTTCGGTTGAAATTGTGTGGGTGTTTTTGTATCTCAATGGCTTCCCTGACTAGTCTGTTGTGATAGCCGTTGACCGATGCTAGTAACTTACAGCTCTCAAAGTGTATCCTGTGTTCCCCGCTGCCCAGTGCGTGTTCAGCTACTGCAGACTTCTCTGTATGTCCTAGCCTGCAGCTTGCTTTATGCTCCTTAAGTCTCGTTCCCATTGATCTCTTGGTAGTCCCGATGTAGACCTTTCCGCATGAACACGGAATGCGGTAGACTCCTGCAGCTGAAAGTGAGCCCCTCTTGTCCTTCGCTGACCTGATGGTCTGCTGGATCTTCTTTGTAGGCTTAAAGATTGTTTTGATGTCGTGTCTTTTCAATACTCTGCCAATCCTGTCGGTGACACTCGGAATATACGGCAGATATGCGTGGGAGGTGGAGGGTCGTTGTTCGGTATCCCGTGATCTTGATGATCTTGAGTTCATTGATCTCTCAATCTCCCTCTTGCTGTAGCCATTTGCCTCGAACGCAGTTTTTAAGTGTTCAAGTTCCATCTGGAGGCTCTCCGGTTCGCAAATCCTTCGGCCTCGTTCAGTCAGGGTTCTGATAACCCCATACTTTTGACTTGGGTGATGGTTGGATAGAGCATGCAGGTATCTGTCCGTATGGGTTGGTTTTCTGTAAACTGTGTGGCCCAGCTTCTTACCTCGCTTCCTCACTAGTACGTCCTAGAATGCAAGTTGTTGGTCATTTTCAGTCTCCATAGTAAACTGGATGCTGGAATGCTGACTGTTGAGATGCTGCAGAAAGTTGTTGAGCTTGTCCATACCATGTTTCCAAATCACGAAGGTGTCATCCACGTACCGGAACCACGTTGCTGGCTTGTACTCTGAGGTCTCGATCGCTTTTTCCTCAAAGTGTTCCATGAATAAGTTGGCTATAACCGGGCTTAGTGGGCTTCCCATTGCCACTCCGTCCACCTGTTCGTAGAAGTTTCCCTTCCACACAAAATAGCTACCGGTCAGACAGACTTCAAAAAGTTTGCAAATATCGACAGGAAATATCCTGTTCACCAGGTCCAAGCAACTCTTCAGAGGTACTTTGGTAAACAGTGAGACGACGTCGAAGCTCACAAGGATGTCGTTTTGTTCAATATTGATGCCTTGAATCTTGCCCACGAAGTCGGTGGAGTCCTTGATGTAACTGGTGCCGTGTCCTACGTGTGGTTGGAGCAGCGATGCCAAGTGTTTAGCCAAGTATTACTTGGCTAAACACTTGGCGCAAGATTCAAGGCATCAATATTGAACAAAACGACATCCTTGTGAGCTTCGACGTCGTCTCACTGTTTACCAAAGTACCTCTGAAGAGTTGCTTGGACCTGGTGAACAGGATATTTCCTGTCGATATTTGCAAACTTTTTGAAGTCTGTCTGACCGGTAGCTATTTTGTGTGGAAGGGAAACTTCTACGAACAGGTGGACGGAGTGGCAATGGGAAGCCCACTAAGCCCGGTTATAGCCAACTTATTTATGGAACACTTTGAGGAAAAAGCGATAACTTGACCTTGGTTTTTGAAATGGAGTAGTAGTTGCAAGAAATCCTTGCGAATCACATTGTTTTTCTCTCTGTAATCCACGTTGCTTTTCACTACAATCAAGAAAAAATCTTCAACATCCTGGTCCATTGATTTCAGCCCTTCGGCAGAATCATCGTAATTACCCCTTTAATGGATCGAGCTCTTCATTAAAATACATCCCGCGATTTATAAAAGACTCGAAATCTTTAATTAATATGGTTTTGGCCAACTGTGGATCCGTAACGAATAATACACTTACCGAGTGGGAATAAAATCAGCCATATTTTACGTTTTTGCTTTTGAAATACGTGTAACAATAACTCTTTCATATTGCCAAAAAACTACAAGATTTATCACCATAACTGTAAGACATATCATTTAACCTATCACTTAATGAAATATCATTTAATTTAAGTTTTTCAAATTTGACATAACTTACAGAATATATTATGAAGAGAAAAACAATTTTTTAAAATTTTATTTAAATGTTTTAAATGTGGAAGGTGTCTGTAACTTCAGAAACAAAACAGTTTTTAAAATGTTGGTATACCTAAGTGGTGAAATTTTGGAAATAATCGCCAGAATTCGTAAAAGTAATATTATCTTGAAATATTTCTATTAGTTAATAATGGCATTAATGTATGTTTAGCAGTTTGTTTTAAAACGGAAGCTAAAGGTTTATGATTCTCTAGTTCATATTTACATAAACATAAATTAAAATGGAGCAAAATAATTACTTCTACGCAATTTTGATAAATGTTATTATGGACAATTTTTTAATTTTCTATAGAAGGGATAACATCCCGGAATAATTTTTAATCACATCGCGTAGGTTTAACAACAATATGAATGTGAAATAATGAAATGTACCCTTTTTGGAGAAAATTAAGAAAAGAAAGTTAAGTTAAAGTTCAGATGTGGAAAAGTATTAAACAAAAATAATCAGATGAAAGCAGTAAAGTAGTGAAAACAGACTCAAATAACCAAGCACACAAATTTTCAAAAATTATCTCTTTCTGGTTATCGGTCCATCATCATCGGTTACACGATCGACTACCCTCCAAAAATAACAGATTGTAGGGCATACTTTGGGTTTGCTGTATATTATTTTAATACACAATTTGGTGCACAGTTTTCAGATTTTTGGTATGGTTCTTAGAAAGTCCAAGGATGGAAAAAATATAAAGTCTCTCCCATTTATGATAGATCACTATTATAGTGATCGTTTAGATGGCTAAGATTGCGAACATATCGTTTAAGGTATCTAAAATCAAATAAAACAAACATTACTGACAAAATTACCAAAAATTACTAATCGAGATGTTTTATATTCAAAAGTCTTATCAACAGTTCATTGTTTCGTAAAACGTGTAGATAAGGAATTTATTCTTTTTGTTTAATTTTTGTTTAATTAGGTAATTCTGTTGTACATATAAATTTAATATATCTAAAATTACTTAAATTTTACGAGTATGGGTAGATTTTAATTTATTTTTTCTCGACAAGATTTTTTTAGGTGTCAAAACTAAACAGAAACAAAGACACCTTTAAGCAATCGGTAAATTGTCCAGTTCCAGTGTATCTTTTGGACCCGTCCATTTACCACACTATACCATGAAGCATAATAATATTTTCTCGCGCACAGTCAGTCGTCCTTTATAGAAATCTTCACTTTATATGATACATGGAACCATAAGGTAGCATGATTCCTATCAACTTTTCAATTTTCCAGAAACTTCATTCTAAGGGCCACTCTGCTGGCCTCGAGGCACAAAATGTGGTCCTGAACTAAAACTCGATGATGAAACACTTCCTATGTCCTCCTTTGATTCTTTCTGAATTGCTTTAAACAATGATATGCTGCACTGGCCTAACATGTCGCTGATTGCTACTCTATTTGCAGGTTCAGAATTAGACGCAAAAATTATACTTGCCAGCTTATCCATTACAGTTCAAAATTACAGTGATTATTACTGTTTTTTTTTTATTTTTTGCCCGTATGCTAGTGACAATATGTGGAACTACATGAGGCCTCATTCGAGCTGCAAAATAACTTAGTTTGTATTTGTAAGCTTTCTCTTGAGGCAGCAAACCATTTTCTCTTCCGTTTCGCAGTACATCATGAATTGCTTTTCGAAACATTTGCAAAACTGCAGTACCCAAAACAACTTTTTTATTTTATTTCACAAATAGATATTTATAAACATCGGAAAATAAATATAAGAACTGACATGACGGGGTGCTAACCTCGATACGGATGCATTTTCTAGCCTTCCTTAATTTTAATTTGCATTTAGTTTTGTTATTAATTATTGAAATTTCACGCCTTATTAGGCCATATAGTCAATTGAATTTTATAAAACTTCCTATTATTATTGCTAAAGAAAAAGGAAAGTAGTATAGAAAAAGGAATAATAAGATGTACATCTTTTTATTAATTAATAAACCAAACCGATTTGAAAGCAGGTACTAGCGCTGTACTCTAGATTGTCGTAAATTGTTTGAATTGACGAGTCGTATTAAAATTGACAATAAAGGTATTATGTTATCGTTATAAAACCTTATCGTTATTAATTGTTTTCGTATTCTTTAAACATCGAAAGGAATGATAAAGAGCGTTTTAAAAGGCATTTTTTAAAAATGCTAATGATTAAAATTGTTCTCAAGCTGTATACACGCGTAAAACTTGACAATGAAATTTTAAATCTTATATCCTTATATATATATATATATATATATATATATATATATATATATATATATATATATATATATATATATTAGTATTGGTATTGGGTATAGCTTGCTTTGGTGCTTAGGTATTCTTGATGCGAATTTTATATGTAGAAATATGTAGGATTTTTGAGTATTAAATAAAAAACTTTTTAGTTCATTATCCTTGAGTAAGTCAATAATAGTTTAGGTTTAAAAATGATTATTATTAATATAGCAACAAAACATCCGAAAATGTAATTCAAAATGGGGTTTCACTACTACTACTTTTGAAAGCGATGGCAGATCAAATTTCAGTTCCTACCAAGTTTGGTCAAAGGAAATGGTGTATCTCTATTTCAACAAAGTTGTGATATTAGAGAGCATTTGTACTGATGAAATATTGACATTTTAAGTAATAGAGTTAATCGAAGATATCGGTCACATAGTTGCAGTAGATTTGAGCAAAGCGAATTCGTATTGCCGCCTAACTTAAAACTATCATGCGAAATTTTCTTTCTATTACTCAGAATTCCGAGAACAAAGGTCCATGTATAATCCCGCCATTTCTGGCACGATTGTGTCGGTCTTGGCTTGTCTGAAACAGTGATTTTAATAAAATGAGTCGTTTCTTATTTATGTCAAGTTTTTCGTATGCGCGAACTGAGCACAAAGGCGGGCAATAATTTTCTTCTAAGCGGCGCAGTCTTGGAAACCATTCTACGCCTCTTGAGGGGATGTTTGCCAGCAGCATCCCGTCGTAAATCAAATCACGAGGATTATTTATAGGGTCCATTGTTTTTCGTCATTAACAATGACAGAAATTGTGTTTTTTTTTGTTATTTTTAGAGCAGTGGCGGTAGTAGAAGTTTTTGGTTTATGTTGTAAAGTAAGTGCCCTTATTAAGGCCTATCTAATTTAGGCCCCCAAAAAACTATTTTCACCTTTTCGTGTCGTGACAGCATTCTTTGAGGCCTGAGTCTTTAACAGAACCACCTGCAATATCGATATATTAACCAAATTGACTAAAAAATAAGTATAATAAATAATTATCGGAGGGCGTTATTTGGAACTATTGGCTCAAATAAAGCCAACATATGTTCCAAATAAGACCCATATTTGTTCCAAATAAGGCCAGAATGTAGAAAAAAAATTTTGAAAATGTTTCCTTAAAAACTTTATGCCGTTTACCGCACATGTTGCATAATATACTATTCCACTATGAATCGGACTTTTGAAATATTTACATATACCAATTTTCTGTCAATATTACGTTTATCGTTCAAACATTCCCTAAGATGGTGGCCAATCCTACTTTAATCTACAGTAAACCAAATCTCTGGTCTGGAAAATAATTAAATTAAAAACAAACCAAGCCATGGTAGTAGAAACTATCACTCAGTTCTTACCAATGTATTGTCTGGAACCATCTCCAAATGGTAAAAATAAAAGTTGAGGTCTGTAATTGGGATTATTCTCGTAAAATCGATCAATATTAAATTTTGCACGATCGGTATAGAGTTCTAGATTGCAACGGAATCCACTTTTTTGTACCCTTTGCAATTACCAAATTACAACGCATCGAAAGAACTGGAGCTATCGGGTACTTTCTCATAGCTTCTGTCAATCACATTCCAGATCTGTAATTTCTTCAATATCTTCATACAAAATTAAGTTATTATATTTTGCCAAGCCTTTAGCGTGCGGCATGATATCGGTAGAAGTTCCAAACCCAAAAAAGAACATGAAGAATTCTGAAGCTAGGTCAATAAAACTCATGGCAGATAGATAGATCCTCGTCATTCTCAATTTGAAATAGGTTTTTTAATTGAAGCAGTAGTTGCAAAAAATCTTTACGAATCACGTTGGTTTTTCTCTGTATTCCATATTACCATTGACCATGAGATGCTCTCGGACCTCCGAGAGTGTGACGTGGGTTTTACGGAGGTAAATAAGGCACAAAATATGCAAACTACCAAAGCTTTACTGAAAGTAACACTACAAAAAGAAACAATAATAAACGCGGAACTTTCTTTATCCCCAGGAACACCGTCCTGTGGCACGTCTTCCGCCCGTCTATCCCACGAACCGACTTTTTAAATGGGGATCGCAAATATCCCCTCTTGCGGCACTTCACATTTTAATCGCGCACCACAACCACCTTCAAGAAAAAATCTTCAACATCGTGATCCATGCCTTTCTAACCGATCGCAACCATCATTTGCTTTGCACAGCGCTTTAGCTGCTGCCCGAATGTTCGTTCCGTCAAACTGCGTCCGTACAACCAAAAGTCGGAATTTTGATCTTTTAAGCTGTTACAATCCATTATAAACGCACATTTAAAGTCCAGTCAGAGAAATTGTTCAACGTCATAGCATGACATCTTCATCTAGTTCATCACTTGACATACATTGACACAAGATTTTTGTTTGTCAGTTTTGAAATCCGTGTAAAAAGCCGTGACAAGATCAAAATTTTTTAATTCAGCGGATAATTAAATCGTTTCAAAATGCCCCAACAATTTGGTGAAAAAAAGCAAGCC